ACAACCATAACGGATCATTATCTTACACATGGAATACAACCATAACGGATCATTATCTACACATGAATACAACCATAACGGAATTATCTACACATGAATGCAACCATAACGGAATTATCTACACATGAATACAACCATAACGGGAATTATCTACACATGGAATACAACCATAACGATCATTATCTACACATGAATACAACCATAACGATCATTATCTACACATGAATACAACCATAACGGATCATTATCTACACATGAATACAACCATAACGGATCATTATCTACACATGAATACAACCATAACGGATCATTATCTACACATGAATACAACCATAACGGAATTATCTACACATGAATACAACCATAACGATCATTATCTACACATGAATACAACCATAACGGATCATTATCTACACATGAATTCAACGATAACTGTTCATAATCTACACATGAATACAAACATAACGGTTCATAATCTACACATGAATACAGCCATAACGGTTCATAATCTACACATGAATACAACCATAACGGATCATTATCTACACATGAATACAACCATAACGGATCATTATCTACACATGAATACAACCATAACGGTTCATAATCTACACATGAATACAACCATAACGGTTCATAATCTACACATGAATACAGCCATAACGGTTCATAATCTACACATGAATACAACCATAACGGTTCATTATCTACACATGAATACAACCATAACGGATCATTATCTACACATGAATACAACCATAACGGATCATTATCTACACATGAATACAACCATAACGGATCATTATCTACAAATGAATACAACGATAACGGTTCATAATCTACACATGAATACAGCCATAACGGTTCATAATCTACACATGAATACAACCATAACGGTTCATAATCTACACATGAATACAACCATAACGATCATTATCTACACATGAATACAACCATAACGGATCATTATCTACACATGAATACAACCATATCGGTTCATTATCTACACATGAATACAACCATAACGGATCATTATCTACACATGAATACAACCATAACGGTTCATAATCTACATATGAATATAACTATAGAAGTTTACAATTTACACATAAATACGACTATGCCAGTGTATATTCGTAACCTTTATAATCACCATGTAATCGTACTTACAAAAACAATTGAAGAAAGGTCACACCTCTAAAAGTGATATGGAAATTATAGCGATGTACGTTGCATTTGATTGAGACATTCAAGGAATGAATAATTTAGCAGTTTGCAAGTTACAGGATAGATATAGACAGACACAATACAATAAAGAATTTATAACCCAAATGCATTTCTTTATTTGATAATGGGGTATTTCAAGTACAGTTTTTTCTTTCTTCGTATAGTTTTTCAACTCACTTATTTATTATGTGTTCAATGGCGTGTGGTTAATTGCATTTACATGAGCCGTATCTTGTCATCGATCGTGTCCACATCAACAAGGTGATAGATAAGCTTCATCATTAGTCACACTTTACATGTGTGGATTATCTTGTAGCCAGTATTCAATTGATACTATTGCTGTTCCCACTTATGACCTCGTTTACGGTTTTACAAATACTCACAGAACACAGATGCATACCTATATCTACCTCAACTGGACATAATTTGTCTGTAGCCCCAGACTATACTTTTCTAGTTTAGTTGAAACAGATCATTGCATAGGTGTATTTTATGCAAATTGGTACCATTTATCGCGTGGCCTGTAAGTGACACATTGTTGAAAATGTGCGGTTGTGTTTTATTTCTTAAGATTACACGCCAACTATTTCATTTGCGACTGACTAGCGCTCTTTAAATGGAAATCACAAGTATGAGGTTTAACCTGGGCTCGACTTGCACCGAATACCGCCATTAACTCCTTCGATACATTCCAATGACCTGAAAATTACTTAATTAAAGCTTGGAAACGTCTCAGTGTGTACTTATTCATCTGCGCAACAGTCGAAGTCGCCATCTTTATTTATATGAGACCCATATATCACGCGCATGCGCATCGAGACGAATACCGCCCTTTAATGTATATCACACACACGATGAATCAAACAAACCGTGAACGACAGGATGCTGTTGCATTTTACAGTAGCCATTATATTACCTGGACCGCATAGCGAACGTCAAGGCGCATTGCCTTTGACAGTAAATGCTGTGATCACTAGAGAAAAACTGTCAAGCCCTCAAAACATTGAAAGTAAGCCATCCGTGCTTTAAGTATATGTTATATATTCTCGTCAATCAATATAATTTAGTCTTAAATGAAATAATTCGGTGTTCACGGATTATATCTGAAAGCACCTGATAATAATTATGTGGTTGACATATTTATCAGTTTGTCAGAAAGTGACTCTACTTTAAGCATCGCAATGAATATGTAAATCAAGTGTAAGTTATTCAGGCCGAACCATACAGTGTTGTTTTTATGTATTGTTGTTATCCATCCGCATGCACACCGAAAGACGGCTAGACTCTGTTAGTTAGAGCTAGGCTATGCAAATCAACATTCATATGATAAAAGCGACCGTAACTCTACATACGATTTTATTCAGATTGCACCATAGAAATATTAGAACGAATTCCCGACTGCTAAATTCATCGTAAGTACTTTACTGAAAGGCAGATATCTTAGTTTAATGCATAGCGTTAATAATACAGAGTATATGGTTCATGATTTGCGTAAACATAGTGAGATCGTTACATTCGTATTTTGGCAGAAATGGTTAAATAGGATAACATTATTGATGATATGAGAAAACTAAGAATTTTTGCAGTAACCATTCGAGTATGACTCACAGTGATATATGGCGGGTGGCACATGTGGTGCAAGGGTTCTCATGCATTTAACATCATTTTTTGTTGTTGTACACGTATGATTTCACGCGCCCGTCTATCACTGATTTAACTATGTTTTGTAATGAATTATCTATGAAGTTTGACTGTCTAATGATCTGATTTGATCTAGTTGCTTCAGCTTCCGGTTTAATACATTATCATCAGTTATGTAGCAGTAAGATAAAAGTCTTGTTAAAAATGTCACAACCGGACTCGTGAGGGCGATATATCAGCGGCATAGAATTTATGACCAGGAATTTCTTTTCACAAAGATCTCGTGGACACTCGTTTTTATTTATGTGTTCTTCCCGAGTGCGTTAATAGTTTTGTTTACATGCGTTATCGTTTCTGGTTGGTTATTGATGATTATAGAAAACAACTCGTAAGTTAATCGAGTTACTGAATTGTTGAAATAATGTACGTAGCAGTTGGCAGCCTTACAAAAAAAATGTGTTACCGAACTAGGAGGAATATTTCTGTAGTACTAGCCCAATAAATTATGAGAAGAATAGTTGACCTAGATATGTCCGATTTTATCAGAAGAAAGAAATGCTACATTTATATTTAAAACTTTTACTGAAAATCGGAACGGCATCGATTTTCAGAAAGGAATATTGTTTGTCCATATTTCAGGTTGTTATTGTTTCTTGTTAAAACGATGTCAATCTAGCAAACTCTTCAAATCTCACAATTTTGAAAGTCCATTCAGAATACGTCTTTCAAACAACAAAGCGTCATGCCGTGTATACGCAATATGATAACGATACATTCTGGAACTAGGACGTTTTTTGATTGGCCGAGTCATTTTTTTTAACTCCGAAGCGATCTCACACCAGGGCTTGTGTATGTAACTGGCAAAAGTAAACGCAAAAACAATAAATAATTTAAATCATATTGGGGCTTATCTTACGACAAATATCCATTACAAATATTTATACTGCAATACCAATATATGTTTAACAAATTAATAATCAATTTATTTATTTATTATAGTTTATAAGTATAAACCTTAATGAATACTATATATTTTTGACGGCAGTGACAGCTGAAACATTGTATTTATTGTAAGGTATTGTATAAAATTGATAAATTATGTTACTGTTCCAAATTTGTTTCAAACACCAACACGACGAACGATAACGATATGGACGTTTGCAGTCAGGTCACTTATTCGCCCCTACGCCACCCTGACACGAATCAACAAGAGAACAACGATCGCAATGAACTAGACAGTTAGTAATAGCGACAGGAAAATGTCATAAATACACTGTTACACTAGTGTAAAACAAGTAACCGAGTTAATCAGTCTATTTGAATAAGTAAAACTCCTGAAATACAAGATTGTGTATCACCACTCCGAACGGCTGCAAACCTTGATGTGATACACTGCGCCCTCAAGTGGCAATTTGTATCTGACACTCATAATGTTATAACTTGTCGAGCACCATCAGGACAATATTAACCAGCGCCTTTAGGTGTGGTGAGATGTGGCAAGTCTTGCTGTATCCCGCATTCACTGATCGTTAAAGTGTCTGCAAACAAGGTAGGCATGGTTGAGCACATTGGTGGTTAAATACTTACCGAGCAGTTACTCGATTATAATAGAGGATTTCTAATCAGACGAGTGAGAGTTGAGTCAATCAAAACTAACCTTCTCTATCTAATGAGGTGCTAGGTTACACCGTTACACCGTCTCATCGTCACATCGATGTTGTGACAGCACCTCGTCGCCGTTCTCTACGGCGAGGCAATGAAAATGCATCAGCATAGAGTCGAGTAAGCGTTTTGGTGCGCGTTGACATAGTTGCGGTGGTGTGTGTGGTCAATTGTAATTGAATGTGGCTCACGTTCGCAAAAACGCATGTTGTGCAGGCTGACTCAGATGAGATGCATTTAATCTAAGCATCGCGTGACTGGCTTAAAACCACTGTCCATGGCTTGAAGAATGCCATATATAAACCGATTGCCTTATACATATTTGTTCGTATTTTTTCGTATATTACTTCGTGGAGTATGAATATCAGTTTCCAGTACTTTTCGACCCAGATATGAGGTTAAACTGGGAACGTGACAGCGAAAACTAATTAATGTAACCCGATTTAGGTTTCATAACGACCAGGATGTATTATAGTGGAGCTTGATGCTTACCCATGAAATACATAATTTATTTGATTATATTCTTCTATGAACCAATATAAAGGTTGAAAAATTAGGCGTTTGTTTGCTTAGTGATTTTAAATAATGTGACTGAATTGGTACCTGTGGTTGTCTTCAAATGTATTTTTTTCAAATCATGGGTAGAAATGTGTTTCCTCTGCGTAAATTCTCTTTAAATTTGCAGCAATTTTTTTTTGCACAACATTTGGCTCATTTTGTTCCCAAATTTAAACCAACACACCTCTTAAAACAAGGATTACTGAATAATATAACAGAATTGTGATAAAGACTTATGGCGGGTAAACGGTAAGTGCAGAATTTTATCCAAAAGGCGACGATATATATAATGAAATACAAAGTTTCTCCCCAAGCGTCGGCCAAAGTACCGATACACAGGAAGCCCAGAATTTTCAATGTCGGACATTTTATCATTTCGACACTTTTGACTTTTGAACCTCGCAACACGTCTTGTCTACAAAACCAAATATATTCAGCCAAATAAAATTCCCAGTGCATTGCTGTTAATCGTGTACAGTTTCACTATCCGCAGCTGACGCACGCCGCCATATTTTATTTTAATTTGACGTAAGCGATTAGAGCAGCAGCCCATCCTAAATAGTGTTTTTGTTACATCCGCTGACAATGTCATTCCGATAAAGACATTATTCATATATGTACCATAGTTTACACTGTCGCACCTATGAAAATATACTCGGTATTTCCACTGGTAACATAAGTAAAAATAAAAAAAACACACCATGTCGTCTGTTTATTTGGTGTTTGTGTGGTATTCCACGGGATAACTTCAGAAGTGCATTTAAAATACTTCATATTGAGTACTAGTATTATACAATAACGGAAAATACAAGAAATTTGGTTTCGAACAGTGAATCTGTATGTTTGTGATAGTTGTGATGTGTTTGACCTACCCGTAATTTCTATGGCGTGAATCTATACGTGAATCACAGGACCTGAAATGTGTTTGAAATAAAAGTTTATTTTTTGATGTCGATGTTAAAATAAGTCAACGATGGTCGCCATGTCTCGTGCAATGGCTGTAAATTACAGTGTTGTTTTTGTTAAACTCCTTGAATTATGTTATTCTTGCTGTTTGTATCGTTTAGCCTTTTCATCGGCAACACTGCAAGTGAGCGCGCGCATATGTATATATTTGCATATGAATAGAATGGAACGCCATGTTAACCAATCACTGAACAAAATTTAAAGTAGGTCACAACTTTGGCGCACACTTGCCGTCTTGATACTATTCTTGGCGAAAGTCTGGGAACATATGAAAAAGTCGAAAATAGCATTTGTTACCATGATGAATGGAAAAATATTCACTAAAATTAAATAATTGGAGGTATCGTCACAAAATAAAAAAAAATAACTGTGGTCAACTTTCTTAGGTTTTTATATACATATCGAAGCCGTTTTTAAGAAGACGTCGAAAATATCAGTACTTCGTCGACAACAGAACTAAAACACAGAAAAAAACACAGTAGTGCATATAGGACCATTTCACAAATTACGTATTACTTGAGTATTCATAACATCGCCATCATATTCAGTTCGAGGTCATAGTTCAATACTTACTTCATACTTCATAGTCTCAATGACTAAAACTAGCAAGCGTGGATTGATCTAACTGTTTTGTACTTATCTACTTGTAGGGTTTTGGTTACCAAGAACATGGGCAGTTGGCAAATACGTACGAGGTTTCTTTTCTTGATAGTGTCCATGGTTATATTTCTACTGTCTATTGTTATACATAATGACAAACTGATCAAAAGACCCACAATTACAATTGCTGAGGTACGGATGACATAATATTATCAACGAATTCGGTAAATATGTGCCAGTATCCTGTTTAAATCATAATATCATTGACAATAACGATTAAATACTCCCCTTACTCACATTAGCATATTTGAATATTTATTATATTCCCAGTGAAATATTTGGTTTCATCAGCGAATACGACTGAGTGACGTCACACAATTGTCGACAGTACTGTTTATTCCACAGAACTACCCCATTTGCAATTCCTGCCAGAAACACCATTTTTTTTTATTCGAAGGGTGCACTATCATTGTTTAACAAGTGCCTCGACGAAAAGGGACATTTAGTGTTAAAACAAAGGGTTACACCCTGATTACTATATCGATTTACTGACTTAGCTAAGCAACACGTTGCTGTTTTACTGTATATATCAGATGTATTGTGTACAGTCTTGTCGGTGTTCCAACACACGAAAGTTGCAATAAACACGCCAAACAATATTCAAATGAGTACCATTATTTCAAACAATGGAAAATAGGCTCTGACAGAACATTGCTGAAACAACCATTGTCTGATCGAGGGGTGTTTTAGAAATGACGGGCTCTTGGTAAAGAGGGTACGCGATTAAGTAAGTAGTCTTGGCATTAAGCCACATAACCGCCGACTTTCTCGAGGTTTCTAACTTAGAATTATATCGGGAGGCAATCGGCAATTTTTGGCCAGAAATGGCGATTATCCCTATTATCTGTATCATCACCTGACGTCTGTCGATGTCCACTGAAAACATAAAACAAACTTTACCAAAAGAACTAAAAATTAATGTTGATAACACCGATAAAATACTATCCAATCCCACTGACATTGCAGAAGCCTTCAATAACTACTTTGTTAATATTGGACCCAACCTTGCCTCAAATATTACCAATCCCCCAAACAAGTTCGATCACTATCTTAATGACCCCAATGTGAATTCATTCTTCCTTGCACCAACGACAGAACAGGAGGTAGCTTTGACATTAAGCCATCTTGATCAGAACAAATCGTCAGGCTATGACTGTTTACCGGCACGACTTCTTGTAGATGGAGCTGATATCATTTGTAAACCACTTTGTTTTATTTTTAATTTATCATTTTTACAGGGACATTTTCCAAATGCATTAAAAATGGCAAAGGTAACGCCCATCTACAAAAAAGGCCCAAACAATATCCCCGGAAACTATAGGCCAATCTCAGTGTTACCCCTTATTAGCAAGGTTCTAGAAAAAATAGTTAACAAACAACTACTGCATTATTTGGAGAAAGAGAAAATTCTTTACAAGCATCAATACAGGTTTCGTAATAAATTCAGCACTAAGCTTTCTGTCATGAATTTGTTTTCGCGTATCTGTTGACCGACTTAATTAGTTGATTATTAGCGAATTGCTGTGTTATGTCTGTCATCGTTTAGACCTATTTGAAGTTTTGGACGGAACTGTAAAGCTTAAGTGACTTTCCCGATCCCGTACCTCGAGGGGACGCGATAGAGAGACAAGACGAGATTCCCCCTGACACGTGTGGAGACCCCGGAGAGAAGAATTTTCCCCCTGATATTTCCCTAATCAATTTAATAAACACACTACTCCTTCAAATTGATGAGGGCAAGCCAACTATTGGAATATTTATCGATTTTACAAAAGCTTTTGATACTATTAATCATACAATTTTGCTGGAAAAAATGGGTCATTATGGTATACGCGGGCTTCCAAATAAGTGGTTTAATAGTTATTTAGAAGATATCACAATTCATTTTTTCAAATGGTGTTTCATCTGGGCAACTTCCTATATCATGTGATGTACCACAAGGTTCAGTACTTGGCCCTACCTTATTTCTTTTATATTTCTTTTATTTCCCAAACTCTACAAATTTTTTTAACTTTAGACTCTTTGCTGATGACTCCAATTTGTTTCATTCTTTTTCACCAG